GCGGCGCCGGCATCGGGCGCGCGGCGGCTGCAGCAGCCGACGGTGGTGGAGGCCGCAGTGGCCGCTGCCGCCGCCTGGGCCTGCTGTCGTACGTCCCAGGTGGAGGCCCCGTAGCCGGCGCTGCTCAGTGACACGGTAAGGTGTGTGAGCTGCTGGAAGGTGGTGTGGAGAGGCCGCCACGGGCCGCACAGTACACGGACGTTGCTGAAGTCGACGGTCAAATGTTGTACGGTAAGGTCCACCAGCTGTTTTGCTTCCTGGTCAAATTAGTCAACCCAGTCAACATGGTCAACACAGAGACGGCGGGAGCGGGAGTAGTGGACGTACGATACCGGGCGGCGCGGCGAGGGTGGGGCCATCTGCAATTAGGTCTATTGTGATTACCGGTTTCCGAAAGTGAAGTGCAAATTTGCAGTGCAATTGACGCTGGCACCACAGATTTCGCGCAAGAAGGCTAGCGCGCAGCTCCTGGGGAATTCGGCAACTGTACACGAATACCTTGCAGGTTAGCCGAAAGACTTTGCGCGCAGCTGGGCCGAGGAACGAAGCAACCGTTTCCAGAACCGGACCCGGAAGGTCCAGTAACGTTTCGCGAGTGGATACTTCCATCCCAGCGCACATCAGTCCAGCAAAATCAAAAGGGCTTCGTCACAGTGCTTTCTGGAATGAATCCACTGGTGTAAGGTTGGCTCTGTTTACCGGAACATCGGAAGTTGTACCGGAACGCTGTTGCTCCACTTCCTCGTCTGGCATATTAACGTAAATCCACGGCGTTGTTTTCGACAATAAAATAATAATTGTTGACTAGCGGTACGCTAATTCCTTACTACCATAACTTGGTACCGCAATAAGGCTTCGATTATGTTTTTGCCTTCAGCTGTTCAGGTTTGAACATATATAGTAATTAGCCTTAACGAATCAGAGTCAAGTTTCGTGATAAAAATTAGCAACGTTGAGCTGCCTACATCGCACGCTAATCTCAGTCACGAAACTGTCTGACGGTGATTGATTTGTAGCAAACCTTGACTAATGACTAGCGCAGCTATCTGCAACGCTTACTTCGTTGCGCAGCGCCCCACCATCAGTTAGGTATCATCAAAACTTCCTTGGCAACGGCTCCATCAGTATCAGTTGATCATTTCTCTGGTCAAGCGCCAACGGAAATCTGGTACTGCTGTCCATGTACTTCTCACGTATTTACTTTGGACCCACCGCACTTTACGATAGCAACCTGAGACGTCATAGTTCTTTGATCGGCATTACGCCAAAAAAGGAAATGCTCCTCCTCCCCACGCCTTGCCATAACATACACCCTAACCCTTTCTTACGGCCGCGGCAATCCCCAAGTTGCAGAACGAGCCCCGATACGGCAACAAGTGACAACACCGCACGCACCCCTATCCGCCTTCCCCTCCCCCTACCAATAACAGTGTTCCATCTGCATCCCGCACACACACTCCCTTCCATTCATCACAATTCCCATCCCATGACAAAGACCCGGCCCTAGCAAAAACCTGGCTGGTCAGCCGACAACTTTAGTGAGTGCTTCCCTTCTGCCACCGCCAATTACTACCTGCCCTTTCCCCCGCCACCCGACCCCTAATTTTCCTCCGCAACACACACGGCCCACCAGGGAGGAGGGACAGAACGGTGGGCAGACATTACTGCCCTCAATCAGGATGATTGTTAACCTGGTAGCCAAAATGGTAGCCAAGGTTGCCAAAATGCACCACAAGGTCATAGCACTGGAACAACCCCCTGACGTTGCTGTCTGTGCGAGACACACACACACACATACACACACAACACACACGTACACACACATACACACTTCAGAGCTGCTTCAAATCCCCGGTTCCCCCAGCGCCTTTTACGTGGCCCAAACCCCGTAAATAGTACGTCAAGTAAACCAGCTTTCAGGACGATTTAGTCCTCAGGGATCTCGACCCTTCCCTTTGCTCCATTCGTCAAACCGCACCCCCGTGTGTGGGGTCCCCTTACCATCGCAATACCCCATAGAGCTCCACGCAGCCAACAACAACCCCCAGGTCGGGGCGTAACCCTGAGAGCCCCTCCATAACATGCCCAGCTGCGCTGCTGGCCGTAGCACTGCATCTCCAGGAGCATGGCCCCCTCCACCCTCAGCTGCTGACGATTGCAACTGCCGCGCATGGGTTCTCCCCCCCATACACACGTGACGGCTAACGTGACATGACCGGCGGGGAGCCAGCAGGAGGCTAAACCCACCAGCCGCAAGCGGGCACTCCACGAACGGACCCAAACCTGTAAAACATCCCCCCAGCCAACCGCTTGACAGCAGCAGCAGCACCTTGGCAGCGCGCCCCACACCGCTCCTGATGGGCTCCTGGTCGGATGCAGCCCGGAGCCGTGAGAACGCAGTGACCGCAGCAGTATCATTGCCACCATATGGCAGTGGTGGTGGGAATTCACTTGGTGGGATGGTCTCACACAAGGGCACACACAGAAGGGCTTGGCAAAGGAAGGAAGGAAGGAAGGAGCATTGAGAGAGAGCAGCAGCAACAGCTCGATCGCCCCTTTTCGTGCGTTCGTGCTGGGGTAGGGGATGCAACGAACCTACGTACGGCGAAATGTGATGCATGCAGCCTTTTCAACATTACCAACGGCCAACAGATCCAACCAAAATAACACCATAAACGGGTACACACCTTTGGGGTGTCATAACACATTCGAAACGCTGCCAATCAACGACAGTTATTATTATGGCGGGGGACTGGGTCAATCAAGGAGCCGTGACGAAGCCAGCCCCAAGCCCCAAGCTCAACGCAGAGCGCCCTCGCAGCACGGTGGCCCCATACGCGTATGTATACGAGGTCCATGGGGCTACGAATCGAACACACATGAACACCCTTCCTGCCCTTCCCGGCCCCACCCAACTCGCCGCCGTTCTCACTCCTAGGTGAACCGAAGAACGTAGGCCGGAAGACCCCAGGGGGTGTTAAAGAACGAGAGCTGCTGCAGCAGCAGCAGCAGCAGCAGCTTACAACCACCCTCGCCATTGCCCATCCACCCAACCCGTTGCCTTAGCCCGGATTAACCCTAACAAGACCAAATTGGCGCTGATAAACATACGTTTTTCAGCGCGCTGCATTCGCACACGACCAGTCTACGCCCTGCGTGCGTCGTGCGTGACCAACCGTGCCTTTCTGCTCAACGTACTTTTAATGATATGTCAGTGCAATCAGAGGCATTAACCATCGTATTGTGGTTGTGCTGTTTGCATGCTTGTGCACACCACCACGCACACAACGCAATGCATCATCGACTGGTTTGTCACACCCGGGCGAAGCGCCCGTAGGGTGTGTGTACGACTCCCTGCATGAGCTGATGCACCCCCCTTTCCCCCCCTCCCGACCTGGTGCGTAAATGTGTATATGTGTGTGTGATGGGTGGTGCATGTACGAACACTTATGCCGCGGCCTTTCCTAGCGTCAGCAAACAGACATACATACTTGAGCGCGCCTCTGGAACGCGATCGGATCAAGTTCTGCGCATCGGACAGCACAATCTCCTACCCTAACCTAATCAGTGTTGTACCAGTGTGCAACTTATAGCGACGGCAACAACAACAACAGCAACAGCGATAGCAACTTGAACGGACGGCCGCATGCACAGGTTCTGGACGCTTGGTATGTCGGTCGGTATGATGCTAGCGTCTTCAAAGCGGACATCCGAACCCTCCTCTCCTTCCCTCCCGCATTCCATCCCACACAAACAACGCGCACGCGGTTGTTTTCCTACCCCAAGCGCACATCAATCCACACAATCCAAACAGAGACGCGCGCGGTTCCAAGCTGGAATACATACATAAAACGCATACATACACATGCACACTCAGAAAGCACGGGACACAGTTTTGGTAAACAGGACGGCACTGCGGCCATGACCTCCCCCATGTTTTTTGCTTTTCCTGCTTAGGGTGTTTTCCCCATTGCCCTTCCTCTCCTTCCTCTCCCCTCCTCCCTCACCCCACAGAGCCCCTGTTCCCTGTGTGCCAACAAATATCACAGCCTTCAGTTCTCCAGAGCCCCCCTTGCGGGTGAGGACACCAAGCAGTAGCAGTAGCAGTAGCAGCAGTAGCAGTAGCAGGCACATGGACCGGCCACCCTCCCACCCCCAAAAAACGGTCCCAACCCAACCCAACCCAACCCAAGGAAATGCACCTCAGCCGCCCGGTGACCAGCTCCAGGCTCGAGCGCCCACTGCTTTCGCAACAGACCTGCTCCCCGCTTCCCCCCCCTCCCCCCCCTTAACGCACCCAGGCATCTACACACACACACACACACACACACACACCTTCCTGAGTCCTGACGCTCCGGACTCCCACCACACTACCACTCCATCTCCTTCCCTCTACCCTCTCTCCTCTCCAAAGTTCCACATCGGGGGGATGTGCCAATCCCCGACCCCGCTTTGGAAGGTTGCGTGCAGCTGTGCTGAAAATCGCGACAGGAAAATCTCCTAGACGCCAACCAAACAACTTCCTCCTCTCCTCAACCCTTTCGAGGCCCCAGAAGCTACGTCGCCAGCCACTCCGCCGCCACTTCCTCCCTACTTTCCACCACCACCACCATCATCACTCACTGCCACTTGTTTTGAAAGCTGCATGGACGGCAGCGATCATATACCGTCGTCGTATATATACAAACACGCTCTTCCTCTGCTGCTGCTGGTGTGTATACGTGTGGCTGCAACGTCTGACGGCACCACGCTTCCACCGCCTCGCCACCGTCCCCCTTGTACGCGCGACACACATGCATGACACAGACCGCGCCAGTTCTATACTGTACATGCCGCCGCGCTGCTTTTCACACCAAGTTTCTGCTTTTGCTGCTGCTGCTGCCGCCCCCATGGTGCGCTTTTCGTACAGCTTCTGAAGAAATTCAAAGTCCAAAAGCTAGTAGGATCCCATCCAAGACTCAAAACGAATTCCCAAAAAGCCAACCGCCTGCAGTGCAGCCCTACAACAGGTACTTGGTTTCAAAGGTCGAAAGCGCGGCGGCAAACGCCTGCGCGGCGGTCAGCACGCAGGGGTTGAAGTCCAGGATGTAGATGCCCTCCTCCACCTTGCCAAACTGCATCACGCAGCGCTCCGCCTTGTCAGCTGAACACACGAGCTGGAAGTTCTTCACTGACGCCATTTTGACGCGCCCTCGGAAGTTCAGACACCAGCACATCAGCGCGTCGTTCCAGTGAGGGGCCTTATTCTGAAGCTGCACGACACGGGCAGGCGCTGCCGACGGCGACGGCACCGTCCAGCCGCCGACACCCCCGTCGTCGCCACAAACGCCGGCGGCGCCTGTGTCGGCGCCTTCGACCCCGCCACGACGACTTCCCGGCGATCCAGGGCCCCACCATTGTACCGTACCGCCGCCGCCGCCGGCAGGCTGTCCCTCGACGCCGCCGCCGCCAGCTGCTGCTCCTGCTGCGCCGCCGCCAGCCTGTAGCCGGTTCAGCAGGAAACCCCGCAGCAGGGCGCTCCCGGCGGATCCAACTCGACGGAGCACGCGGCCACCTGCTGCGGCGGCGCCGGCAAGGTTGGGCGCTCTGACGCCACCGCCACCGCCACCGCCGGCTTCCGCCGGCGCAGCCTCGTCGTCGTCAGCCTCCGGGCGCACCACGGCGGCATCCACCATGTTGGCAAAGAGGAGCGGCTCCGTGCGCATCTGCACAACCCGTAACCGCACCACAGGCACATATGCATCAGATTGCGAAGTAAAAACCATGTAAAATGTGAACTAACCAAAACACACCACCACCACCACCACCACCACTATCATCATCATCATCATCATCATCATTAGGTCGACAATCAGCGCGTTCCGGTATCGCAGCACCGTTGTGTGCCCTTATATATAAGGGTCTGTATGCATATGCGTGCGTGGAAAACGCACGGAAGCTTTATTTACATGATACGCATTTGAAGGTGAGCGCGCAGCGCGGCGCCTAAGTAGTTTTGCCACCATTCCAGGCACTCTCACAACCTGCATGTGGTACTCCCCCCCCCGCAAATGCTTACGAGCTGCGGGATGTGGTAATATTTAATGCTAAACGCTGCAGCAGGAGCCAGGGGCCCCAGGCACCCCGCTCGCGCAGTACACCATCGGGTCATCTAGTGCCGCTGTACGGCAGTCTGTACTCTCGTACTCCGTACTCACCGCGGCCTCCAAAACGTCCTCTAGGTTATCCATAAGCCCCTCCTGACCCTCGACAACCAAGCCAGCACCGCCAAAGAGACCTCCGGCGGGGGGCTGCGCTGCCGCGACGTTCCCGCCGCCAGCAGCGGCGGCAACGCCCGGGGGGACCGGCGGCGGCGGCGCCATGACGGCGGCGGCGGCGGCCGCAGCACCAAGCGCTGGCCAGCCTGCAGCCGCCAAGCTAGCGCCGTCCGCTACGGGCTCATGCGTGTCGTACAATGGATTGTGGACGACTCGCTGGAGGCTGTGTGGCACGGGAACTTCCACCTTCATTCTGCAAGCAGGATGGCGGTGTGGATTTGTGGGGAACGAACCCCACGATGAGGCAAGCAATTGGGCATATTGAGATATTTTGGTTTATAGGGGGGCATCCTAGCAGGGAGCCATACACATGCAGTACAAAAACCTAGGGAATCCCCTGCGACCCCCTAGCTCCAAAACCCCGCAGCCGCCAGACAGAAAGCTTTTGTTTATCCGTGACGAGACACCTAACATTCGGATTCCCCATTACCTCCAAACGCAACCCCCCTCTGCTATTACGTGGTTACTACTACCTACTTGTACGACACGTCTTCGGCAGTAGCAGCCTAAATACAACTTTGTTCGACACACGCAGCAACGTTGGGGACATCATTCCCAACGCGCTGAGGACGCAACTTAAGTTCGCACGCAGTTGCATGTCGATCCGTTTTGGACTCCCGCCCCGATGGCAATTTGCGGGCTCCAACTTTCCTAGAGATGTCGGCACAGTTATACTACTTTTTTCCATTTGGCTTTGCATATGTATGCATACATACATACATACATACATGCATACATACAAACATACATACATACATACCATATGCGCATAGATACAAACATACAAACACATACAAATCGTATTCCCCATAAACGCACTCATAAACATCGGTCTTATACGATGTTTTCCCTTCAAATACACATACGTGTATGACACACATACCTACATACCTACACGCGACCCCACGCCCCACATGACCCGGCGACACACCTCCGAGGCAACATGATCCCTCGCACTCTTAGCCGGTACTCCAGCCGGATGAGCGGCGGCGGCGGACCCCCCTGGCCCCCGGGAATGTACCCCGCGACGGCGATCAGCCGCCGGGCCCAGGGGCACGACCTGAGGGGGTGTTGCAGGGGGGTGGGGTGGAGGGAGGGCGTGGGATCAAGGGGAGAGAAAGGTCTTGACAAAGATCAAATGGAAGGGAATCGACCCTAAGGAACGTCGGACGGGGGCGGCTGACGTGGAGGAGGACACCACGGGGAGGGGGGTGAAGGGGGCTGACAAAACACACACACATGCACACACACACATGCACACACAAACAAACGCGCAGAGGGAATGTACAACCGAGGGAAAGTACAACAACACCAGCACCAGCACAAAACGCACACACCGACACACGCCCACACACATCCATTCACACACCGACAGACAGACAGACAGACTCACGCTTCCGGCACGAGCTCGTAGTGGCTGCAGCGGATGTTGCTCCGAAGAACCGCCACAACACCGCTGTCCCGAGAACCGCCACGTCGGCCTCCACCCCCACCGCCCGCGCCGCCACCGCCGCAATTGCTCCCCTTGCCGAAACCGTAGCTACTGCTACCACTTCGCTGCGTGGGGCGCCAGCCATGATCTCCTAAATCACCTCCACCTCCACAAGCACCACCACCGCCATCTGGTTGCGGTGATCGCCAGCCAATCGACGTGAAGGCGGCTGCCGCCGGGGGCCCCCAGCTCCCAGGGCTAGGACAGGGGCTAGGCCCTGGGGTTGAGGGACTTAGCAACAGCTCGTACGACCGCCTGAGAGTGTAGAGAGCGGATGGAAGGGCGGGAAGTGCGACGCGGGCTTAGTAGTGCGGGTGGGAAGATTGGAAGATTGGTGCTGCCGCCCTCGGTGCGCATACCAAGGCCGCACAGATTTACGTACGACAGTTAAGGTAACAAACTTAAGGCCTCTTTAGAGGGTTACAACACATGCACATGTATACATACATACATGCATGCATACACAAAACCTTTATACACGGTTAATCCTGTTTGCGAAATCCACCCTTCCTTGCCCTGCAATTTCCCCTGGCCTGCAATACACACCACACGCCCTGCAACATCCCCCCAACACCAACAATCAATACAAACCCCAGGCCCAGCCCAGCGTGATGGCACCTCCCACCAAAATCCAGGTCCGCCACGCAGGTCCCCCCGGGGGCCCGACCAGCAAACCTGCTCCCCCCCTCCTGAACCCCCCCCCCGACCGCGGCTCCGTTGACCCAGATCGCCTACCTGCCCGTTTGCTGCGCCAGCATCAACAGCTGCGGGGTGGCGCCAGCGGGAAGTCCCCCGCCGCCGCCGCCGCCGCCACCAGATAGCCCCCGTCCAGACGGCGACTGACCCAGATCGCAGCGCAGGCCGCGGTAGTCTGAGCCCAGGTACGCGGCGAAGCGCCAGAGGCGGCCAAAGCGCGGCGACAGGCCGGAGGCTGGGCACGGCGTCCGGTGCACGAAGCAGCGTAGCAGGTGGTCGCTCGTGTGCAGACGCAGCGGGTGCGGGCTCTGAAAGCGGTCAGAAACACGGAAAGGAACGACAAGAAGTGAGGTAGATTTCGAGAATTTAAAGAAGGCGTATGTAAATGAAGATGGGGGGAAATGGCGGGGAAGGCCTTCACATACATTCATCCCTTTCCCTACCTTTTTTCCGCAGCTGCGGCTGCGGCTGCGGCTACGGGCGTCCTAATTGTTCGTGGGATGCAAAATCGTTTCGTGTGGAGACAGGGGAGCGTTGCGCCACTACCACAGAAACGCTATCACAGGCATCTTTTTACGTGATGAAAGGAGTTGAGAGCCAGGGGCCCTCGGGGATTTCGCTCAGACCGCTTGGGATAAACGCGTGGGAAGGGGGGAAAGGGGGAGGTGAGGGGGAAAACGGAGGAAAACGCTGTGTGCAAGTATGCGGGTGGGGGGTTAAGAGATTTAGTGCCCGCCGGGGTCGCTTACCAGAGTGAAGAGCTGGGAGGGGTGCACGATCACGTCTGAGTGGTGCTGCCAGACATTTGAAAAGAAGAGCGTGTGACCGACACGGCGCCAAAGCTTGCAGACGCCGCAGACGCTGAATAAAACCTGCACGGTCGCAGTTGGGTAGAGCGTAAGTGTTTCCACTACAATGCTTATGTGTAGAGAAAGGGATGTGCGCGTCCATGCGTTGGGGGGCTTCGCACCATGGCCCACCAAACCCTCTGGAGTTTCTCGACATTTGCAAACAGCAGAAACGCTGCCTGCAGGACCATGACAGCTGTGTAATGCAGGGAATTTTCAGGCTAATCTCCACTGTTGATAACATTTTAAAGCTGAAACACGTCATAAAACCGACAGGAAATTCAAGGTGTACCACGCGCTACACCGTGCTGCCAGAATGCCTCCAATGGTAAGTTGCTTGGTTTCTAACAGGCGGATTGCTGTGTACATTCGAAGCTTGTTGACTCCGCAACGGCTGACGCAGCTAAAGGACGCAGACGCGGCCCGCGCCACCTATGCAGGAAGCTTGTCCAGGCCCGCTACTGTCGACTAATGATTAGATACCTTTCTTGAGGGCCAGCGACCCTGGCTATCACGGAGTTCGGCGAAGATAAGCTCCAAAATGTGGGCAGGTAGGCCAGCCCATCCTCCCCCAACTGGGGCCTCGCCAACAAGGGGGCTTAAGTTTATCCCCGGGCTGAGGCCACCTTCGTGGAGTGTAGCTGGCGAACCAGGGCCACTGAGGGCTGATTCGGGAGCAACACGTTGCTGGGCAGCGGTCCAGAACTGAATACGGTTTGGTGTGGAACCAGCACCCGATGAAATTACATTCAAATCTATAGGAGGCGGCTTAGCCCGCATGTGTCGCGTGCTATTTGGACCAGCCTCCGCTAGGGTCGCCATGGCTTATTGGTTCGCTTCACTCATACCGTAAACTGGAAACGTATCTGCGCATAGATAACAAGCTGGCGATTCACGGCAGTTTGTAAGTTACAGAGCTAAACACCAAAAAGACTTCGTACGGGGGGACATGACTTGATTATCGACGAGCGGGTGTACAGCTAGATCAGTTTGGAAGACGCGACAACAAAAGCAACGACCTGCAACGTTACAGGGCCATTATATACCGGCCCCAGGAAATAAGGGATATGGCTATGCCATTGCAAACTTGATTTACATGTCCACTGGCTCCGGAACCCAACCGTGTATCTGGCGGATCCTTTATCACGCCATCGTTGCCGTGTTAGCTGCTATATACCCTCCAATCGCCCGCTCAGAAGGGAAGCCCTCTATGAAAGCTGCAGCAAGCATGCGAATACTTTACCCACGCAAAAGAAAATCACAAGTTATAATCACCAGTACATCATGTTGCCGCGCTCCGACGCGTATCAACCCCTGAATCGTGCCTCCCACATCGCCGAAGTCCATGGCACTAAATTGCCGCCTTTTTTTATTGTACGAACTCGACAGCACCGAAACGCGATCTTATCACAGTTATGATAGAAGAACGTGCAAAAATATCCGCCTTGCGCCTCTCATCGATAGGTACTGTCGTCCCAGATTCTGAACACATGTGCCTGCCGCCTCTTAACCCTATCACGACATGCATGTCTGTTCCTGAAAAACCCGAACTTCTCTCTGCGGCATCACGAACTGCACCTGCCACACAGTTTTACCTTGTTCACCTGCAGGCATGTCAGGATGGCTTGTCGTGCGGCCAAGAGAGCCCTGGGCGGCTTTCCGCCTTGCAATTGTTAGCTCATACCACAATCCCCAACATACAGCGGCACACACATTCACAGTTTAATAAACCACCATCACCGTCATCAGCATCATCAGCACCCTCAGCAGCAGCATCAACACCGGGAACCCCATACAAGGGCACATATCGGCATGGTCCATATTAATTACCGTCAACACCCTCATCTCTCCACACCGCCTTCCTCCTCGTAATTGCCGCGAGCCATTTTCCCCCCCTCCCCCTCCGGTTGCGTCATTGCTCTGGTGACTCGTACGGCAGCTGGTCGGCATCATCATCATGATCATCATCACCATCATCATCATCATGATGATGATCATCATTATCATATTTTATCATCGTTATCGTTGCAATCATCGTCATCATCATTATCATCGTTATCGTCGTATAGTTCCCCTTCTTCAGGTTGGCATCAAACGGGCCGTTTCACTGAAGCGCGCGCGAAGCTACGACCGCAGGGTTTGTTTTATTCATTTTTACCACAACACCGACAGCACGGTTGCTGATTCTCCTTCTTCAGCCCTTCCCATCTAAAGTTAAGCATCGTCAAATACGGAGTGAAATCCAGGAGGATCCAACCGCGGTTCCAGGACCTAGAATTCCGGGGTTACTTAGACACCGTACACATCGGAATCTTCCTCATCCTCCGCCGCAGCCGCCATGGCCGCCAGTGGCGCGGCAGCGGCAGCAACCATGCGGCCGCTCTTATCCGCCGCCGCCACCGTACGGAAAGCGCTGGTGCTGACGTGACGTAGTCGGTCGACCGCCGCCGACGCCGCGGCGGAGGCGGCGGCGGTGGCGATGCTGCCCACCATGGCCACGTCTAGGCGCTTGTGGGCGGCTCCGAAACCACCACCGCTGCTGCCTCCGGCAGAGGGTGCCGCCGCCGCCGCCGCTACCGTCAGCTCTCCGCTGCCGCCGTCGGTCTCCAGAACCGCATCCACAGCCAGCGCCGTCGGCGCCGTCGCTGGAGTCAACGCCGCCTTGTTGCGCCAGCTGCCTATCGTCTCGACGTGCACGACCTTGCCTACAAGTCGGAAGACCTGCGGACATGCCGGGCTAGCCGTCACGGCGCCGCCGCCGCCGTTTCCGCCATCTCCCACCGCCGCCGCCGCTGTCCCCAGGACCAGCATCGGCCCTGTAGACGTCCTCACGGGGTCCGATTGCTGCTGGGGCTGCTGTTGTCCTGCACCGTGCCAGGCGGATAGAAGCGGAAGCGGCGACAGCAGGGACGGTCGTGGTGGGGATGCCGGCGGGCGCGTCGACGGCGCCGTCGGTGGCGGCGGGAGCACCAGGTTGCGCACGGCATCCTGTGGCAGGCCCAACTCCTCCAGCACTGACCTCTGCATGAGGTCCTCTAACACGTCCTCGACGGAGTCCTGTTGCGTCAAGGAAATGGGAGTGTGCGTGTGCGTGTGCGTGTGCGTGTGCGTGTGCGTGTGCGTGTGCGTGTGCGTGTGAGTGGGCGTGTGAGTGGGCGTGTGAGTGGGCGTGTGAGTGGGCGTGTGAGTGGGCGTGTGAGTGGGCGTGTGAGTGGGCGTGTGAGTGGGCGTGTGAGTGGGCGTGTGAGTGGGCGTGGGAGTGGGCGTGGGAGTGGGCGTGGGAGTGGGCGTGGGAGTGGGCGTGGGAGTGGGCGTGGGAGTGGGCGTGGGAGTGGGCGTGGGAGTGGGCGTGGGCGTGGGCGTGGGCGTGGGCGTGGGCGTGGGCGTGGGAGTGGGCGTGGGAGTGGGAGTGGGAGTGGGAGTGGGAGTGGGAGTGGGAGTGGGAGTGGGAGTGGGAGTGGGAGTGGGAGTGGGAGTGGGAGTGGGAGTGGGAGTGGGAGTGGGAGTGGGAGTGGGAGTGGGAGTGGGAGTGGGAGTGGGAGTGGGAGTGGGAGTGGGAGTGGGAGTGGGAGCGGAGCCCCTACCCCCCTAACCCCTACATCTGGTATCTGCCGCATTCCCGTGTGTTTCGTCCTACCCCCCTAACACCCACTAACTCCCCCCCGCGGGGTTGGGGCGTGGGGGAGGGGTTCCCCACAAAACTTTCTGTTACGCCCCGGGCGAACGCTCTTGCAAGGGTCCCTCCAGAGACATACCAAAATCCGCAGCCAAATCTCAACTGCCAACTCCCAACTGCCAACCGCAAACCGCCGTACCTGCGATAGCGGCCGCTGCTGCTCCCGGCCTGCGGGCCCCCACAACCGCCGCTGCTCCCTGGGCACCTGGGCCAGCACCGCAGGGGCGTCAACCGCCACTGCCGGCAGTAGTCGGGCGAAACGGAGGCCCCGATGCGTGCACATGAGCTGTAGCAGCACTGCCAGGGCGCCACCCACACCCTGTACGGAGGGAGGTTGGGTTGGGAATTGGAATATTGGGTTGGGAGGTAGTGGGGAGGAATTGGTTGGGGGTTGGTTAGGAGGTCGGTTGGGGGTTCGGTCCAGTGTGGAAGACACTTGTAAGGACGGGTATGTGTGTGTATGTACGGAAAGGTATGACCTCGCGCTCATCACGTGGATCCAGTCACGAGAATGTCAACCAACAGGATCCAAGCTCTGGCCTTAACCAACACAACTACCGCCTGATGATGTGGACTGGAGTAGATCAGTGTTGAGCAATAAAACAAATGCAGCAGCAACAGCAGCAGCAGCAGCAACAACCTTCGTTCAAGACCAGTTGGGCTGTTCGAACAACAATGTCTTCTGGCAAACTTACATGGTTGCCGTACCCTGCCGTACCCAGCCCAGGTCAGGCAGCTCTCGCAAAAACCTCCCCCTTCCCCCAAAACACACACACACGGCTCACCTGTCCCCCGAAGCAAATATTGCCGTGCGGTACGGCCTCCAAGTAGTCCATAACCAACGGCATGAATCGGCCGTACAGTGCAGACGCCTCGCCGTACAGTCGCCTGCGCGGTAGTAGTGGGGATGGGGAGCATTCGGCATTCCCCTCCGGGTAACTTCGGCATTTCGAGACGGAACGAGCTCCGTACTACTGCAGCCTACCCTGTGGTAGGGTCCCCTTTCCCTTAATTGCCGGGGAAACAGGTCATCATCCATACAGACAGACACACAGACACACGGCACATTCACGGGGGCTATTCCTTCTCGCGGCTCTCAGTTCGTTAATGAACCCACAGGTGTACAATTGGGGGCTTCAGTTCGCCCTACTTGGCGGCCTTGTTTATATATGTAGGGAGTGGACAAGAGAGACCTCGAACGGGCCATCTAGATATTTTGGCCTCTTTAGGCCTCTGCCTCTGATCTGTCGAGGAGAGGGCGGCATTGTCCTCCCCTGCCGCGAATAGCTAAGAGCCCCCACGGGAAAATCCACGGAATCTCGCGTTATCCGAAATCGCTGCTAAGTGTTTCCCAGCGAGATGAAACAAAACAGAATCTGCGAAATTGGTTGTCCACCATTTAAAAGTTTTATAAGAAGAATTTATATATATATATATATAAATTCAAACAGATTTAAAAAAATTTAAATATCCTTCGCCATCGACACAGAACCCACTTGTTGACTTTGGCGCCAAGGTTGTACGTCTCGAAGCTGACCAGGTCAGTCGTCAGCTCGCGCGGCGTGCGGCGGCGCAAGTCGGGGCCGGCCGCAATGACGATGTAACGCACGCCGCCCGCCGTGTCGTCCGCCACTAGCCAGCTAGAGGTGGGCTCCCCGTAGCTGGGAAGCATCTGCGGCCCGAGTGAGCAGGGCGGGAGCAGGGCGGGTGGGGGTGAGGTGGGGTGGGATGAACAGTGTGTCGACCAGTTAGCTGTTGTTCCCCATGTCTGTCTATGTCCTCGACTTGTGTGAACCCTACCTTGCTGGCCTTGCATGGCGCTCCGTTCCGGCAACCACACTACCCTCACCACCATGCAACAATTAAAAATTAATTGCAAATCAAGAAAAAAACAAGGAAAAATCAAGAAGAAATCAAGAAAAAAATTGAATAAAAATTGTTTTGGGGGTAGAGTGGGGTGGAGTACAAGGCGAGTAGGAGAGGACAAAAGGAGGGGTACGAGAATCACCTGGGCAGTAGCCTTCACTGCCGTAGCCACAGCCGCATGAGCCGCATGCGCCGCAGCGCTGGCGGCGCCCGCCGCCGCTCGGCCAATCGGCGCCGCCGACGGCACGTCCGCCGCCGACGCAGCAGCCGCCCGCGCAACGCGAGTCAGCGCCGCCGCCGCCGCCCCCATCATCCCCCCCGCTCCCTCTCCACCGCCGCGCCCGCCGATCGCACCACCGGAGGTAAGGTTTGCAAATGCCTGCCGTACGTCGTCGTCCTCGCCCTCGTCCTCATCGCCGCCGCCGCCCTCCGCGACCACCAGCGCCAGGTTCCGGAGCTGTACATCCGGCGGCGGCGCAACACGCCGCGTCCCCGCCGCCGCCACCGCCCCCGCCGCCATCGTTTGTGACGCTGGTGACACCGACGGCGATGACCGAGCCGTCGTAGCTGCTTCCGCTGCCCCAGCCGGGGCAGTCCTGGACCCTCGTACAATCCCAGAGGCCGCGGCGGCAGCGGCGGCACCAGCGGAGGAAGGGAATACCGTACTTAGCCAGGAGCTGGCGGCGCCCGCCATCCCGGAGGTCATCTTGCCGCCGCCGCCACCCCCGACCTGTCGGGTCCAGGGGGTGACGAGGTAGGGAGGGGAAACCATGTGACGCGAAAGTCAAATACACAGCCATCAACGAGTGACGACCAACGATGACCAGGGAAGGCAAAGCGGCAACGAGCAGCGAAAAGCTGTACGGGTATGTGGGGGGTTGGGGGGAGAGGGAGAGGGGGAAGGAGCACGGAGGCTGTGCGAGATGTGAGGTGTAGCATCCCTCCGATGCCGTACACATGTACAGCAGGCCGGTAGTGCTTTCTCTCACCCCTCGGTTACATCCCCGGGTTACCACACACGTCCTGTGGGTCGTTTGCCGTACACTCACGTACACTCGGTCCCTTTGGTTCTTTCCCCCCCGACCAATACATCCGCCCCTAATCCCCACAACAGCCCCTACCAGTCTTTGCTGTGTTCAGTAATTGTTGATAAACTTCGACATGATGGTATGTTACCTCTCCCCGTAGACCTCCCTACCTCCCCCCCCATCATTATCCATATCTTTCGTACATCCCCCGCCGTACCTCCCGCCGTACGGCCTCTCTGGCGGAAGGCGGTGGCGGCGGCGCCATGCCATCCCCCTCCTCGCCGTCATCTTCCAGGGTGGAGCCGAAGGGCGGCAGCAGCGGCCCCACGCACTCGTCCGAGCTCGTCACTACGGCCAGACCGTGAGCTGTGGCAGCCTGGTGTGCCTGGTGTATGGGTATAACCCATACAGACAAACATGCATACACACACAGCATGATGTCGTGCCAGGAGCCACATGTCGTACCCCGTACATGCAACCGACAAACGGTGAGGTTACGAGCACACATGCAGGTGGGGCCCCCCCGCGGGGGGGGGTAACACCCGGGGGGGGGTTTAGGTCTTTAGGTATGATAAGAGGTATCGCTTAACAGGGTGGCAGAATAACATAGACACAGGCAGACAGACAGACAGACAGACAGGCGTGCGGATGGATGTATCGTCTTGCTGCTGTTGCTGCTGTTGCCAAGAGCGGACCCACAAACTGTGTTGTGTTTGGAGCGTACGCAAAGTGGTTGGGGGCGCTCAATAGGAAGTGCGTGTACGTGTGTCGATGTGTGTATGTGTATACGTGTGTCTATGTATATGTATATATGCGTATGTACATATGCTTGTATGTGCATCTGTCAGTCAGTCTGTATGTGTGCGTGGAGGAGCTTCATCCTACCAGGCTCTTATCCGCCAGGGCGGCGGCGGCTCGCGCCAGCGCCAGCACCGCTCGGTCGGAGCCGGACAAGGAGCCGTCCAAAATAGGCTCGTGCCACTTCCAGTCGCTGTCGATGGAGCCGGAAGAGACGCCGGCAGCGGCGGCAGCGGTGCAGGTGGGCAGGCGGCGGCGGCGGGCGAGGTGGTGCAGCGGCGCTCGGCCGCAGCCCCCGCCGCCGCCGTTGCCACGATCGGCGGCGGTGCGTTTCGTTGTTCCGCAGGTCTGCATGACCGTAGGCGTTGAGGAACGGGGAGCGGGGGGTGGGGGGTGGGGGGTGGGGCCGGTTGCGCTACGTTACGGCTTCATGCACCTTGGGGGGTTAGATGGTTTTAGGGTCGCATCCATCCATGGCCCCCCTCCGGCTTTTATAGCTTATATACGGGCCTCGCACTTATGAGGAACTTGTGACTTAAAGAGTTACAGCGGAGCAACAGAGAGTTGGTGAAATAGAATTGTGTAGGAGGAGCGCGGTTGGGGAGGGGTGGGAGGGGCCTGTCTGGAAAGGCGAGGGTGATAGCGCACCGGGTGGTATGTGAGTGCGGGAGAGATATCAGAGGTCTGAAAGAAGATTTGGGTGGGACGACCGAAAGCGGATAGGTCGATTGAGATGTGGGGCGTGCCGAAGAGCAGATGCGTAAGATTTTGTTTGGTGGATGGAACGGGACTGCAACGTTTTGTTTCGCTGTGCTGACGCATGCCGGCGATTTGCCGAGTCAGCTACAGCGCGCATCGTGTTTGTTAGGACTCACAGAGTCGCTTACTAGGTGCAACCCCAGTTTAGATTGGTAAAGTCCGAATTGTAAGGTTCAAAGCACTCATGGATCATATGGGTCAGTTGAAATGCAGCTAAGTGGAACACTTAACGACATATGATGTAAGGAAACTTAGTCAAGACAAGATACCACACAATTATTTAACTGGACTTACATGGCATACATTGAGTGGACCATGAGCAGCTTCAGACGCTAAGCAGGCTTGAAAGCCAGTCCGGGGGACCCAGGCCCGAACATACCGATTGGACCCCAGAGAAAGCGCCCTGCAATTCTTTCTGTAACGACATATTTTCTCTTGCACTTGTAGGCTGCTCGTTGTCGCCATTGCTTTTTGACGACCGTTACGCTTAAGATAATAGTTTGTTTAGGAGGCGGTAGGGTGCTCGGCGTGACCCTTATATTCAGTGCACATGTAATGGATCGCGCATCACAGATAATAAACTACAATGCAGGCGTTACATGGGTAAGAGTAAGGATTCTGCCACGTCAGGCCTTCAGTCAACTGAATTTACCGTTAATGTACGGAAAGCTGGTATGCTTGGACGCAACGGAATGGGAGCTGCTTGGTTAAAGGGATGATAAGTGAATTCTCAGGACTCTAAAGACTCGGTCGGGTGCATCTAACTGGGTGCAGAAGGGCATACCCTCTTTTCGCCAACGGGCCTTATATTTTGCAGACAACATCGAATTTGCTTGTGTCGCTACAATGGTTGAGGCCAATCACTGCTGGCGTGGCGTATTAGATTTCATAGTTGCCATAAATCGAGGGTCAAACGCATTGATGCGCTGCGTTGTATTGTGAAGAATTTTTTTTGCTGCAAGACGTAGCGTGCCATAGGTACCATATATTTGCTTTTCATAGGGTATTTAGCTAGCATTTAATTGCTTGGAGGTTTGCTTGTCAGGTCGTTTGCCAGGTCGCTAAAGTGGTTCGATGCTCTGCAAAGCATGATGCAAACATTCCAGAGAAACTTGTGGCGCGGTGGTTGGGCACCCAGTGAGCAAAGTAAAGCTCGACGGCGTCGTTCTTCTACGAAAAAGGTCTGCGGTCTAGGTACTCTCCCCATTTTTGCGCTTCATCCATGCGCTTGATTGCCAACGGCAAGACAGCCATGGCTGACTAGAATCTGTTCGTCGGGTAATGCAGAGCCTTCGTGCTCACAAGTGCCGAATCCCACTTCCATCACCGCCTTGTTGCAGATCCCCATCCTAGCTTCAGCAGCGGCAAACGCGCGCGATATGAGTTCAGCGTTATCGCTGGCAAACATACGGAGCTCGCTCATCCGGCAGGAAGACACAATCATTTTCAGCTTTATCGAGCGTGCACAGTTTGCCAGAAACTTGCCAGTCTACACACCGGACGCCATACCTGTGCCGGGTAAGCGACGACCTACGAGAAGCTAGCCGCCTACCAGAAGCCGTGACCCTTGTGTGGTGACCCATGTGACTGTTGGGGCCCCTGCGGAAGCGCGTCCCCGCTGTGCCTGCTGCTCTTTTAAAGCTTAGGTGTAGGAGGGAACCCTCCCCAACACGGCAACCCTAAAGCCCTCACTGGGAGATCCCACCAGCACTAAAGCCCCGCGCCAAGCCCCTACTCCTTCGTGCACCCATATTCCTACCCCACCCTACCCTACCCCACCCTACTCTACCCTACCCCACCCTACTCTACCCTACTCTACCCTACCCTACCCGACCTTTCTTTACATTGACCTAGCACCTATTTGGGATCTCAGTGAGATTTCGGGTGACAGAACTGAACATCTTTGACCACTTTCGATCAAACAAATAACGCCACATCATTTCTCCCCAGGCCGACTCAAACAAGCGACCCATCGATGAGACCGCTCCGCTGCAGCTGTTTCCACCAACTAAGTTCAACCAACTGAACCACCTCACCTCTGTTGTCCATTTCCTTTTCCGTTCGCTCGTCCCATTACCGTCCCGTCCCGTTCCGAAGGGTTTGACCGCTGCGGGCGGCGTTACTCGCTTCTTGAGTACGTGTTGCGGGAGACCGAGCAGCTGCACGGCAGTGTACGGCGGTACACGTCGCCAGATGAACATGCGTTTTTCCCAGGTTCGGAGAGCAGCCTGGCTTTGCCCTCGGTGTGTGTACATGTATGTATATATACATACATGTATGTATTTATATATGTATGTATGTGTGCGCGGACGTGTATTTTGGGGGAGGGAAGATGTGGAAGGTGGCGGCGGGCCGTTGGCGGGAAGGACCGCCCCAGCGGCCCCTGGCGACAGCTTCCCTGTCTGCCCGCCTAATGAGGTGAGGTGTCCTCACTAGGCAGACAGACAGACAGACAGACAGGTGTGCAACATCCAACAGTGTCTCGGTGCTCTGACCTAATCAGGCGCAATGTCACAGTCACATGTCGTACAACACCAATTCTAGGACAGGAGGGCCACGACCATGACGATCTACTGTGGCGCCATTTGTGATGTTGTCGCCTGTTGACACTTATACTACGCCTGTACTCACTCACCTCATTGCCAACCTCTAACTGCCCATTCCCTAACCCCCAACTGTCAACTTCCCAACTCCCTAGATGAGTTGCCGCCCTTGGTGCTCCCGCCCATCACCTACCCCTCCGTACTGCATTCCTGTGCGGACGTGATCAACATTAATGACCGGATTCTAAGAATCTACGTGGACGACATATTGCCGGGTGGGCCGTGGGAGAGGGTTTGCGGGTTGAGGGTTTTACTGGCTGTGTGTGTGTACGGATGGGGTGCGTGTGTGTGGGTACTTTTGTTTCGTTGCGGCGGCGGGAAGGTAGCGGCTGTCAGCCGGCGAGTATTGGTGTTGGGCGTGTGTAAAGGGGGGAGGGGGAGCTACACCCCCCGTGGAGCAGCCATCACCACTGCTGCACGCAGCTGTACACACATGACGACGACGACGCACCACAATGGGTGCTACATATCATCACGGCTGCCAAGGATGCATCCATGGATTGGGCCCTTGTTTCTTTTTATGTTTTCTCTACACAGCAGCGGCAACAGTAGCGGCAGTAGGGTTAGCAGCGGCAGTAGCGGCAGTAGGGGTAGCAGCGGCAGCAGCAACGGCGCGAGCAGGGCTGGCGGCAGCGGCAGTAGCGGCAACAGTAGCAGCAATGGCGGCGGCAGTAGCCGCTCGCGGTTTCCCCGGACACCCACCATCATAATCGCACAACACGCTGACCGGCCGCTTTGCGTTCATGATGCATACATGAAACCGAAGTACTTCCCTTTTACGAGACTCATGTGCCTGACATATGTCATCATTATCCCGTACATGCCGTATATTCCCCATGATGAATTTATCCAAGTGTGTCCGTACAATGAGTTTCCCACGATGCACGACATGCCGACCCGCCAGGCCTTACAGCGCCGGGGGATGACTTCAACTACGGCAGCTCGGCCACCTTGGACGTCACGTGCTTGCAGGTGTGCTCATGTGTGTGTGTGTTGGGGGGGGTTGTGGAGGGGAGGAGGGTGGCGGGGGGGAGGGAAATCCGTGTACCCCGGAACGTGCTGTGTATGTGTATGTGTATGTGTACAAAAGCTGTGATATGGGAAAAGGCACTACGAAAAGACAGGAGGAGGGAGACAAAAGATATATTGGGTAGTGGAGCAGTGCCCCCGCCCCGCCACCCTTTGGCGGGGTGGGGTGGGGAGGAGGGGAGCAGCCGGATTGTAGCTCTGGAAACACACGTGTTGCGGAATGGCGCAAGCGCGACACAGCGGCACCGCGGCGGGTGGTGCGGGGCGAGCCCCTCCCCCCCGCGTGGAGCCGCACCGCTCAGGCGCCCACCAGCCTGCTGCCCGGACACCTAACCACCACCATCATCAGCATCGTCATCACCATTATCACCAACATCATCAGCATCAACATCAGCATCAACATCAGCATCATCAACACTGTTGCAATACACGCACACGTGGGCGGGTCGCTGTGCTCACGACACCCCCCGACTGGATGACAACCCCGCCAGGCGCTGTCCAAACGGATACACTTCGGCAAATTTGTAGCAGAAGCAAAATTTCTGTAAGTGGGGGTTGTGTGTGTTGGGGTTTGGGAGGGGAAGGCGAAGGCGAAGGGGGGGCTTGCGGAGGGAAGAGGGGTGCGGCCGTGTGGTGGGAGTGGGGGCAAGTTTTAGTCCTGGATGATGATCGGGGTTTACACAACTCCTTTTCACGATGTTACGACTTTTACTAGTACGACATTTCTTCGGCAGCAGCAGCAGCAATATACAACCTTGCACGACACACGCAACAACAGCTCCGAGGGACATCATTCCCATCGCGCTGAGGACGGCTCTACGTCACACATGACCTCTGGGGGTGGGGGTGGGGCAGCCAACAGTTCCAACAAACAGCTGTTTGGGTGGCAGTACTAGATCAATGAAGTTCACCAAGGGGGGAGCAGTAGCAGCTCCTCCTCCCCACATCTTTGATGGACGTCAGCCGGCAGTGGATTTCCCGTCTTTTGATAGTGCTGTGTATTATAACGGAGGATTATTACCCCCCCCCCTGTTCGCGAGGTCGCCGTCTTCACGGACGCCCTTCGGTCAGTTCTACGTCTGGTACACTCTTGCCCTGGCAGCAGCTTCACTCGTTTGTGGTTCGTCCTCCCCCCCCTGTTCCCCCACCCCGCTCCACCCCGCCCTCGCTCCTCCATGCGTTCTGCCCCCGCTCAGCTCCAAACCCGAGGAGTACGGCGCGCTCATCCGTGCGGGGGATGCGGACGGCATTATGGAGCTCCTGACGGACAGGCGGGTGTGGGGCCCCCAGTGCGGGGTGGCAGTACGGCCGTGTCTTGGCAGGCTTACCGGGAGAACAACAACACGAGAGACACAGATACACAACTTGAGCTTCCAACGGATTATCGGATAGTTGTGTGTCGTGTTTTGCGTGCCTTTACACTTGCACATGCTTCCTCGGGGGCTCCCCCCGTCTGCCTGTGTAGTGCAGTGGGACTCCTTGCCGCCAGTTCACCCGTTCCGCTTATGTGTGTAGAACTGGGAATTCTGTTGGGATGAACTCAGCAGCGGGGGAAAGTGAGCTGAGAGGATATATTCATATGTACGTATGTATGTATGTTGTTACAGGGTGGATGTGTATATGTTGTTACAGGGTGGTTAATTTCGCCAGCGGCCCCTTTCCCGGGGCAGTCCCTGCTCTCCCCTGCTAGAGGGGCACCCTAATCCGTCACCCCATCCGACTTCAGAATGTATTCGTTGGGTTCGGCAACTCACCACCAGCATCCAACCAAATCTAGCGGATCAACGGCGCCTCAACTTAGTTCCTGGTCAGCTCGCAAGTTGATTTTATCACGTCCTACATCGTCCATATGATGGGGGGCCACCTCCCATTTCAACACTCCTCAAACACCCGAGGAGCCGGCAGGCGGATTTGAACCCGGGTCGGCCGGGAGCAGAAGTCAGGCCTTAACCTCTGCCAGCCGCCATATATGTATGTATGTGTGTATGATGTGTTCCAGGGAGGTGGAGCGCCGCGTGGTGGAACGTGTACGGCGGAAGGCCGCCACCTTCGGTCTGGACATCACGGAGAATGGGGCGCTGCCGCCGGCCGGGGGATCTAACGGCGGGGGCGGGGACGCGGAAGGTGGGAAGGGGGAAAGATCTCCCACAGCCATAAAGATCTCCTTCCTCCTCCTCCGCGATCATTTCCCCCTCCCCCAGCTCCCCCCTCCCTTAATTTGCTGTTGAGGCGGGGAGCTGGGGGGGGCTGCAAACGTCCGATAACCGACTTGACTAAGTAATTGCTGATAAAAACTAATATTTGTTTTTAAAAATAGTTAAACTTTTTGAGATTCTGGCTTCCCTGGCAGGCACATAAGAAGCGGCACTTCCGCTCCTTACCTTGTGTTACACACCTCCCTTCCGCCCCGCCCCGCCTCCCACCCTCCAGTCGGCGGTGGCCCTGTGACAAAATGACATGTACGGCATATCCCCTTTGATTCCGCTACCCTGCCTTCCCTGCCCTACCTTCTCTTGGTTCCCCTTCTCGACACGCTCCTCCCCTTCCCGACACGACACGCTCCTCCCGGCACTTGTGAGCAGCGGGGCCCCGCTTGAAGGTTTCACCGGAGCTGGTGGCGCGTGTGTACGAGGACATTGTGATGCCGTTGACCAAGGACGTCGAGGTGATGTACTTGCTGCGCCGTCTAGACAACGAGCCGCAGACCGCCGCTGACGCCGACGCCGACGCAGCTACTGCTGCACGTGCCAGCGCGGCCGCCGCCACCGCCGTCAGCGTCGCAATGGCGGCATTAGAAGTGCAACAGACCGCCGCGCCAGCCCGATGAAGCCGACGGCGAGAATACGACGAGGAGGACGGCGGCTACGGCGGCGGCGGCAGTGCCATTTGAATGGTCCTGTTCTCACATCCCACCCCTGTTCTCACTCGTCGTCCATGTCTCCCGCGCAAACACACACAGGGCTTCGGCCGCATGCACGCTATTCCCACATCCCTTTTGACTTCTTTTCGCGACCACGTTTTTTATTTTCTTGCTGACTGAATCCTGCTGGGGCTTAATGTACATAAGCGAAAAGTGGGCCGGAGGTTTTGCGGATATTATGTGGCGGGGTGGGGCGTTGTGTGGGAGGTGTTTGGGTTTTGGAGCGGACGGAGGGGGCTAATCAGTCCCCTATGTGGTGTGGAGTGGAATGCCAGGAGAAGGAGCGGGAGAGGAAGAATTGAGGGAGAGGGAGAGGGAGCCTTCAAAGGTGAGGGCCAAGCGCTTCAGGAGGAAGGAGGAGGGGGAAGTGTGTTTTGGCCACGCGTGCTTTTTGGGTGTAAAGCGGGGACAAATTCGCAATCTGGCTTTAGAGCAAGGGTGGGGCGGGCGGGCAGTCCTCCGGGGCCCCATAACGGTGTCTTGGCGGGCGAATGAGCACGCACGCGCGGAGAGAGCCTCTGCGCTAATCATTTTGCCAGACGAGGGTAGAATTTGCGGTGCGTGTGTGTGTGTGTGCGGAGAGAGAGGTGTAGTGTGTTGCACGGTGTCGGTGAGCTTGAGATTTTTTTTACATGTATTGCTAGTGTCACAAACAAGCGGCGATAGCAAGGTTTTCCCGGGGGGGGGAAAAGGAGAGGCAGCGGCGGCGGAGGGGGAGGTTGAGGCTGCGTCAACAATTTCAGTGTGCGTGTGCGCGTGTCGGTGCATGTCCGCGTGTAGGCTGCATGTCCGCTGCACGATTTGGGTGAGCGGGCTGCTCCTTTGGGGGGGGGGAAATAAAATGGAGAGAGTAGCGGATTTAGAAGGCAAGTTATTCCATGCTTAAGCTAAACCTATGAGAGGGAGAGGTTAGACTTGGAAGTCCGGGCTTGGTGTGCTTGGCGGTCCGGGGCAGGCTTGCGCTGGCCCGCAATATTTTATCCGTTTGACCTTTTATATTTGATATTGACCTTTACAATTTATGCCGTGGGGGAGTTTGACCGAGCGACAGGAACAACAACAACAACAACCCGAACAACGGAGCAGACGCTGCCAACAGACTCGACTATCAAAGTAAACGTCTGTTGAAGCCACACCTGCCCGAAACGCCACATCGGCCACCTACACAAAATTTCGGAATGGAAGGTCTCCATCAAAAAAGCAATTTCGGCGCCTTAAAAAATGAAGCATTATGGGATCTGAACAGCTGCAAAGGAGCAACACCGAGAGCAACATCTCAACAACTGCAAGCAGCTGTATGTGAGACGGAATTGCAGGTTCCTCTGAGGGCCTTTGGTGAAAGCGCAGGTCGGCGGCCGTATCCATGACGTCCTTACTTGTCTCACTGTTCCCCCTGTCGCTGCAGGGGCGCTGCACTCCACCCGTTCGGGGTCCACTGTAACAATCGCATTCCCCGTCGCTGCAGTCACATGCTCTGTCATGCGTCATCAAAGCCAGCAAAGTCCGCGAATCACACCCATAAACAGAGTACGAAGCGCGGGGGTCCTCTTAGGTGTTGAGGACCAGCCGGGCCTAATACGCAATTCACCCCTGGACGGTTCATGCCAGGCTGCGAGCTGGGCAGATACGTGTTGATAATCGACCTCTGCGATTATATACCTGCGTTTAGCTACAATTTGGAGATTTTGGCATACTTGCCTAAACCCGAACATATGCTGAGGCGGAGGGCGGGAGGGGGGGGAGAAGGCGGAAGCATTGTACAGCTATGCTGTGCCGTTGTTTGGGGAAGTATTGGTGGAAACGTTCCTTTAGGGTTTTACTGCCCATGCAGCCCTCACTGCGCACTGGCGCCAGCACCACCAGCACCTCTGTCGCCCCCCCCCCCACACACACACCCGCATTGGCTCCCTGCCGGCTGACTGTTCTATAGGGCGGGCAGACAGGGGACCTCCTCCCCCTCCTTCCTCCGCCTCCCTCTCCTCCTCCTCCTCCCTTAAAACCTCCTCCTCCTTCCCCTCTCCCTCCTCCTCCTCCTCCGGGAAGGGTGGACTCCCGGGACTACACACCACCTCTATAACGAGGTCGTAGCGTGCCGAGCTGAGAGTATATGAGAGCTTCAGCATATATCATAAACGTAACGCAACGACGTGCTGCAGCGGGACCCAAGACAAACAACAGCACACACGCCCACACCTAGCCGCCAGCCACACCACCTCACGTAACGCATATGCCGCAGCCAAAGCCGCAGGGCAGCGGCAGTTTCATTCGCATTCCGAGCTGTGCTACGGGATGATGATGATGATGATGATGCGATGCGCGGGACGGTGCTACCTAAGAGTCCAGGGCTGCGAAGCTGGTGACCCGAGCTGGCTGCACCTCCTTCAGCTGCCGCTGCAGCCAATCCACGGTGTAGAACTCGTACGCGGCGCCAACCTCGCCCACGTCATCCGCCACGCCGGAGCCGCGCAGCTCCGCGGCGCCGTACGCCAGTACGGCAAGCATGGCCGGCTCCTTGGCGATGATATTGGCGGCACCCTGTGCACATCCGCAAGGTACGTGGCAACAGCGGGATTTGCGGATGCGGATGATAAGTTCCTCCTGGTGGCCCCCTCCCCTCCCCTCCCC